TTAGCTTTTTGTCAATATTAATGGGTCTGGCGGACCCTCTAAAAATAAAGCGATTGCAATAAAAATTAGTATGGATAATATGTGACTCTAAACACAACTTTTTGTAACTATTACATCATCCAAATAAAAAAAAATTTTTTTCGCTCCACTCTACAGTGAGTCAACATGCGAAACAGAAGGAATTATTATTATGTGCTTAATTTAGATCATGGCCATAGCATAATTTGTACCAAATAAACACCTCCAAGTACCTTTTTAGCAAGATCCAGTCATCCAGATAGTTCATTTAAGTAAAAAATAAACGGGCGAGTTTATAAATGACGTAATTATGAACTACGTTGACATTCAAGGTTGTATAATTTTAGAAGTGCAGTCTAGTCTGCAGTTCGCATATCGCATTAGCAAATAGGAATGTGTCCAAGTCCAATTAACGTAGACATGACGGATGTCAAAATCAACATACCTACACGTTGAAAACCGTTACGTCATTATCTACGCATTTTAGCTAAATACACCTTTCTTTGTACTGTAGACCAAACGCCAAACCAAAATGAATTTTGTTTGTTATTTGTTATTGTCAACAAATTCCATTTACTTGCTATTTTAATCATCCAAGAGATTGCATTGGTACCAAACCACATTGTTTTGTCTAGTTAAGAATTGATCGAATGCATAATTATAGTGTATGATCGGAAGGGTAATGTTATTATGACCTATATGTGACATGTAACAAGCGGCAAGCCTATTGAAAATGGCCTAAATCCAATTACCCTAGCTCTGCCGCTTTTTTTTAATTTAAGAGGAACTTCAAATTTTAATAAACCTCGTAAAACGGATCTAAAAAAGCGGCTTAGCTATAAGGGGTCATTAGGCTTCTTACATGTGACATATAGGTCAACTGTGCAAAGTTTGAGCCAAATCGGCCCCAGCGTTTGGCAGTTATCGTGTTCACGGACAGACGAACAGACGGACACATCGACTCCCCTATAAAGCTTGCATCGCTTTGCTCTGCCGCTTAATAACCAAAGGAATAGTAGATTTAGATTGCATTTAGTCCTAGAGATGACTTTTTACGAAAAAAATAATTGTGGTTTAATTAGTGATTCAAACAATTGATTCACAACATGTTTTAGTTTTAGCATTGAATAAAGTTTTAGTTAATTAACATCTGGTAGCGGTAAAAATGAGATCAGCTTTTAATCGCTGTGTTCGTAACAATCCCCTTTCATAACAAGGTCACGAATTTAAGAATTGGACGTCGCCCATCCCTTGATGTTAAAATAATTACGTAGATAGTCGATAGATACTTAACATACATCCCTGTTTAAAATACCTACTTTTTGGATTTGTAAACAAATATTTGTTTTGTAATTATTGGAAGATAAGCTTATAATTTCAATAGCGTTTGGTACTTAGTTTTAAAAGTGGTTTTATTAATAATTCTATGAGTATGTGACGAGCCCAGTCGCTATCTCCAAAAGTTGCTGGCATTGCATCCTTATCTCATGCCTGCAAGCCTTCACGATCGAGTGCGGGACAAAGACGACAATAATAAAGAAAGAATCAGTGATTCAGTTACACACTGCGAAGTTATTTTTATCGCTATACAGCAGATAATGATATTCTGCATTCCTGCAGTTTATTGTTTAACTTTAAAGGATCTAACAAAATAATTTTAATCCCTATCATAAACAAAATAGGTATCTATTAGCAATTGTGTGTTAAACCGTAACCTAAAAAAATTGAACATTGAACCCATGGCCATAATGTAGGTAGGTACCTACTACGTGTACCTACCAAAGATTTCAACAATGGAAAAAAATGAGCGAGCTCGTTTGCTATATTTATAATTATATTGTTTCAATTTTAATCAATAACTGAAACGTGTTTGGAAATTCAGGTTTCATTCGAGGACTTTTGTAGAAAACAACAAAATTCGTCAACTTCCCGACTTGACAACACACCACCATAAATATAATAAATTCCTTACTAAGTCCTGCAAATCAACAAAATAAGCATTATAATTTAATCCCCTTAGCTTTAGCATTACAACGGAAAAGGTTCTAGGTTGTATTTATTTTGAAGAAAAGCCTACTTCCCTTTGCATAATAAGTTTCGGGAGCACATAACCACATTAGCTGTACCTAATTATAGATTTGGTAACCAGCAAACCATCTGGTCGCAATTCTACGTTCGATAATACCATTGAATAAAAACATTATTCAATGATAATACCTACACTCTACAGTACAGGCTACATACTTGACCAAAATTGAAAGTACGCACTGAGTTTCTTGGGTAATTCCCATTCCCATTCTCGAAATATTAAGAGTTTTGGAAAATTACGTCAATAAAAGTAATAGGTACTTATAATGGTCAAAACGTTGTATCCATTTTGAATAACACCATCTTTCGATTTTGAATATGTTTGGTAGCTCATGTTCCTTTAATACTATTGCAGTTGCTGAACTATTGGTGCAAAATCATCTAATTCGTCCTCCAATAAATATTGTAAACAATAGATCCAAAAAGACCATCACCAAACATCTTTGCTTATCCCCTTCCAGTACACGAGTGATACCTACTTCATGAATAGCAATCATAAGAACTCAAAAGTTATTTGCTCATAGTTATTTGTATAAATAATATGCTTCGATTTCGTAATCAAATTTGTAAAAAGTTCTTCTATGAAGAAATTCGCCTTGGTTGACCGAACTGGTTAAAACTATGAAGAAGACCATTTTGGTTTAAAATCATCTAATTCGTCCTCAATAATATATTGCAAACAAGTTAAAAAAATTCATCACCAAACATCTTTGCTTGTCCCCTTCCAGTACACGAGTGGTACTTCGAAAAAAGCAATCATAAGAAGATTTTAAATTTTATGACATTCATACCGAACCTGGGATCCAGGAGTAGCTGTAATTTACAGTTTGATTACATTTGGTGTAACTGACAGCATTTTAATTGCATTTGTATTGTTTTGAAATGGATATTTATGCAAAGTGTACGACATGAACTTCCTTATATATCGCAAATTCTACTACCAAATTCAGGAAATCAAAAAATACAGTGCAGTTGCGTTATACAAATGAGGACAACTTAAAAGGCTCGATCTGTTTGAAACAAAACAAATTTTGCGATTTTATATTTTATGACATTCATACCAAACCTGGGATCCATGAGTAGCCGTAATACACAGTTTGATTACATTTGGTCTAACTGAGAGCATTTTAATTGCATTTGTATTGTTTTGAAATGGATATTTATGCAAAGTGTACGACATGAACTTCCTTATATATCGCACATTCTACTACCAAATTCAGGAAATCAAAAAATACAGTGCAGTTGCGTTATACAAATGAGGACAACTTAAAAGGCTCGATCTGTTTGAAACAAAACAAATTTTGCGATTTTATATTTTATGACATTCATACCAAACCTGGGATCCATGAGTAGCCGTAATTCACAGTTTGATTACATTTGGTCTAACTGAGAGCATTTTAATTGCATTTGTATTGTTTTGAAATGGATATTTATGCAAAGTGTACGACATGAACTTCCTTATATATCGCACATTCTACTACCAAATTCAGGAAATCAAAAAATACAGTGCAGTTGCGTTATACAAATGAGGACAACTTAAAAGGCTCGATCTGTTTGAAACAAAACAAATTTTGCGATTTTATATTTTATGACATTCATCCCAAACCTGGGATCCATGAGTAGCCGTAATTCACAGTTTGATTACATTTGGTCTAACTGAGAGCATTTTAATTGCATTTGTATTGTTTTGAAATGGATATTTATGCAAAGTGTACGACATGAACTTCCTTAGGTATATATCGCACATTCTACTACCAAATTCAGGAAATCAAAAAATACAGTGCAGTTGCGTTATACAAATGAGGACAACTTAAAAGGCTCGATCTGTTTGAAACAAAACAAATTTTGCGATTTTATATTTTATGACATTCATACCAAACCTGGGATCCATGAGTGGCCGTAATTCAAAGTTTGATTACATTTGGTCTAACTGAGAGCATTTTAATTGCATTTGTATTGTTTTGAAATGAATATTTATGCAAAGTGTACGACATGAATTTCCTTTAGTTATCGCGCATCTTATTTCCAAATTTAGGAAATCAAAAAATACAGTGCAGTTGCGTTATACAAATGAGGACAACTTAAAAGGCTCGATCTGTTTGAAACAAAACAAATTTTGCGATTTTATATTTTATGACATTCATACCAAACCTGGGATCCATGAGTAGCCGTAATTCACAGTTTGATTACATTTGGTCTAACTGAGAGCATTTTAATTGCATTTGTATTGTTTTGAAATGGATATTTATGCAAAGTGTACGACATGAACTTCCTTATATATCACACATTCTACTACCAAATTCAGGAAATCAAAAAATACAGTGCAGTTGCGTTATACAAATGAGGACAACTTAAAAGGCTCGATCTGTTTGAAACAAAACAAATTTTGCGATTTTATATTTTATGACATTCATACCAAACCTGGGATCCATGAGTGGCCGTAATTCAAAGTTTGATTACATTTGGTCTAACTGAGAGCATTTTAATTGCATTTGTATTGTTTTGAAATGAATATTTATGCAAAGTGTACGACATGAATTTCCTTTAGTTATCGCGCATCTTATTTCCAAATTTAGGAAATCAAAAAATACAGTGAAGTTGCGTTAATCAAATGAGGACAACTTAAAAGGCTCGATCTGTTTGAAACAAAACAAATTTTGCGATTTCATATTTTATATTGTTCCGCTTTTTTTTGGTTTACTACTGACGTTTCATTAATGTACTTTTTTGTTTTTGTACTTTTACAGGCCTTTGACAAAATTCGTATAAGGGGCCTCGCATGTGAAAACCGGGCCTCGTTTAATACCATACACATATATTTCGGGCCTCGGATGTGCAAGTTATAAATATATGAGTACAGCTGTAATCGTTATCGTTTACCCTTGGCATGGCATTCAGCACATCAGTGTATTGTATTTTATTATCAGATTTTTTTTTACATATATGAATTTAGCGGTCAGCCATTGCTTTGCCTCTCCCTACTCCCTAGTTTTTATTTTTAGTTCCAGTCGGTTTCTACCGCACCTCCCACCGCACTCAGAGGAGAGCAAGCAAGAAGTAATGCGACCGTCGATATGGATATATTGCAATTGCAGCATTTGGGTTTAGGTACTGTTGTGTTAGTTGATTCTGTTTACCTTTGAAAAAAAATGGCTTCTAGGAATCTAGTGTTTTGTAAAGATTACCAGAATACCACCTGTAGGTTATGGAATAATTGCCGATACATTCACTGCAGCAAAGGGGACCAAGCATTATATGAAGTCTGTGGGACCATTTCCCTCAACCTACAACGAGAATTAGAAAGACTTTCAGACACAAAACGAGTTAGATGCCACGATTTGGACAAAGGGAAGTGTGATCGAGGGGCGAAATGTAAATACAGTCATAAATTGGAAACGGAAGAAGATATATTGACTTGTCCCGTTTGCAGATGTTTAATTTATGATTGTGAACTGGCTTGTTTCATTGAGTGTAATCATATAATCTGCGTTCCCTGTCTTCAACTGCTGCCGTTTTTGCGGCACAATGAAAGAGGTGTTTTCAAGACGTGCCCAATTTGCAGAGGCGAATCGATTTATACGTGTTTATTATAATTAATGGTAAGTCTTAATAACATTTAATAAACGTAACGTAAATTAATTTCCATAATGTACTAACTATTATAGCCAGTTCCTTTTATCAGTCCTTAATAAAGTGGGCCACTGCAAACTTGCTTTGGCGAGTGCGACAGAAAAGGAAGATCGGGCAAGTTCAAGTTCAGGTCACTTTCAATTTATTGCACTTTGTCCCTGTAAAATATCCATCTTGTCTGTTGTCCCTCCTCTCCTTTCGCCGTAACATTCAATCGGGCTTTCGAGTTTCGTTTCAAGGTTTCATTGAAAAGAGTGCAAGGTAACGTGCCTTATGCCCGTCGCCCTCGCTCGCGTATCGTTATTCCTTTGTTGATTGTTACTAGTAGCATGTATTATTTTTAAATTTTAATAATTTCGCAATGCCGATGTGTAAACATTTTTTGTTCAGCGTGTGCCGTAGACCTGAAAATGCGTGTAAACATTATCATAGACTATTACGTTGCCCGACTTCATGTGGCAAGAATCTTTGTAAATTTTTTCATCTTACCGAAGCATTGTTCGCAGAATTTTGTTCGCAAAGGAGGCCGTTTTTGCAAGAGATTCAGGAAGAAGTAAATAGAGTGGCGTACGCCTATTTGAAAGAAGGCGACAAAGAATTGTGTTCCGCAGTCTTAACAGGAGGTCAATGCACTGCAGTCCAATGCCTTCGATGCTATCCAAAACATGGTAGGTACATACCTAAGTTTTACTATTATATGGGGCATTCATTGTATGAATTTATGTCTCTGATTACTGTTGAACAAACTCGCTACACTTTCGTCAAGTGGTACGTCCTACATTCTCAATGAGATATACTTATCTAGCAACTTTGTTCAACAAAATCTGAAAAGGTAATGGCTATTTGTTCGATTCAGCATTATTTTTTTAATTTACCGTGCGTAGGTTTAGATCAGGTTACATAATCTTTTTAAATGACATTTTAGCGTGGTCAAAGTACACATATAGCTTCACAAAAAATACAAACCTCTTGAAATTTGAAATGTGAGTATTCAAAAGGGTTGTGCTTAATATGAAAAATTCTTTACGAAGATAGGTATGCAATTTTCCGGAAAATTGTCGAGTGAAAAATTTTGTTTTTGTTTTTTCACTCTAATTGTTTAAATATTAAATATACGGAAAAAAGTTTCAATTAAAATTTGTAGCTGATGCATTTATCTACAAAATTTGTCTGAGAAGTTTTTCTGTAAATTGAAAAGTGTACGAGATATAATTGATTTCAGCGGAAGTCGATTCGTGGGTGCGCGCGAACGTCCCGTTAGCCGAATTTATTAAAGGCTTGATTTAAAAGGTTTGAAGGTTGTGATGCACTGAAAAAACTGACAAAGTAATCTAAAATGTAGAGAAAGACCTCAACTTTCAAATAAAAATACTTTCAAGTTTAAAAAAGTAAATTTTCTAACTGTAAAATCCGTTTATTTATAAAAAAACGAGGAGAAAAACGTCAATAAACAATATTTTACTCGTTTTTTTCAAACTTTATTTAATTATATCTTTTTTCATCTTATTTCAATTAAAGCAAATTTCATATGAAACAGTTTTTTCTACGTGTCAATGTTTATTTACTATCATAAAATTAAAAACTTGAAAATTGATGATGTTTAAAAATACTCTTAGGAAAATTTGGTATATTTCAAAAACTAATGAAGATATCAGAAAACTTTTCAGACAAATTTTGTAGGTAAATGCATTGGCTATAATTTTTGATTTGAACATTTTTCTGTATTTTCATTATTTAAACAATTAGAGTGAAAAAACAAATAAAAAAATTTTCGACCAAAGTTTTTCCGGAAAATTGCTTACCTAAATTGGTAAAGATTTTCTCATATTAAGCACAATCCTTTTAACTACCTAAATTTGAATTTCCAAAAGGTTTGTACTTTTTGCTGCATTTTACGGATATTTTGTGTACTTTGACCACGCTATTTGGCAATTAGCTGTATAATTCTTTTTCTACTCATATTAAATAATATGTGCAATACTGATGCTTTTTTAATTGAGAAAGTTATCCATTATTCAATAGGTTTTCATTATTCCACTGTTGTCAGCCAATCGTGTTCCGAGTTTGTCATTATTCTTCAGGTCACAATGTAGGGTTGCCTTAGAAACATATGTGAATCAAAAATCAAGATCCCGAATGGCGATAAATTCAGTCAAACGGTTATGCCAATGAAACAAATTATACGAGATATCAGTTTTGTGAAAATTACGTGAAAATGGACAGTGCGTGTTGTAATTATTTAATACAAGTAGAAAAAGTATTAAAGTATTAACTCGTGAGAAAGGCATTCTTCACTCAGATAAATTTACGCCCTTCGTCTTCGTTTAAATTTTTTTCTGGGGTTATTGAACATGATATCAAAAAACACTTTGCCATTGGCACTTGTTAAGCTCTACAAGACGGCGCCTTCGGATTTTGAATACGACGTTTCGTTTCTGAGAATCCATCATCAACTTTAATTCTTTATATGGAACGTGGAAAAATGTCATCCGGTATATGGTAGCTTTTTTGACGTCAATTTCAGTGATGTATCACACACAATCATTTATTTTATCAAGTAAAGAAATTTCTTAGTTAATTTTAGGTTTTAAACCACTTTCACTAAAAAGTTATAAATCTCGTGTTTTTTGTTTGTTTCAATGCCCAAAAGTTTTTGGATATAAATACTAATTAAATGATTGTGTGATACATCACTGAAATTGTCGTCAAAAAGGATACCATATACCGGATGACATTTTTCTTCGGTCCATATAAAAAGTTAAAGTTGAGGATGAATTTTCAGAAACGAAACGTCGTATTGAAAATCCGTAGGCGCTGTCTTGTAGAGATTAACAAGTGCCAATGGCAAAGTGTTTTTTGTGTTTTGATATCACCTCAGAAAAAAAAACGAATATTGCGAATTTCGGTTTTTTCGAATATCTTCGGAACTAATCGGAATTTCCGAATTTTCAAAACATCGTTTTACTTAGCTCTAAAATAGGCAACTTTTGTCTAATTTAACCGACTTTGTATCTCTTACGGATTTCGATATCCCCATGCTGTTCATTCGTATCTTGGGCACACTGTATATTTATTCGCGGCTTTTAAAATCCTCATTGAAACATTTTTTAATTTTTAGGGTTGGTCGTTTGTAAACGTTGCACCTCATTCCTAACTCGGACAAATACCTACAGGTTGGATTGCTGTCACGTCGTTTGTGGAGACTGCGTGGAATTTCTTCCTGTTCGAGTTGACGCACTAATGCTCTACGAATGTCCTGTTTGCAAAGAATATGGCCTCCCTATCAAACTTTATGGCTAAATCTTCCTGATTCCATTGTAGTTTACCCTCGTAGTTATAGGATTTGCTTTGCGTTTTGTAGTTTGCCAGCGTAGTGTAGAATTAGCTTTGCGCATTGTAGTCTTTCGTTTTGTAGTTTCCCAAGGTAGTGTAGTATTTTTAAATTAATGCATGCTTATTCCTCCCAAAAAATGTTTGCGCTAATCAAGTACGTGGAAGATTCTGTAATCCATGTATGCTCAACAAAGGACATTAAACAATATGGACATCAGAAGTTAGCAAGGTGGTGCGACGGGCAGTTTTATCTATCAACTATAATCTGTTATAATGGTGAGTGTAACCTAGTTCAAATTTTGGTAAACTACAGTTTTTTATTAAATCACAATTTCTTTGTTGCTGTGACACTATTTTTCATATACCAGGTGAATATCCTTCATAATCGAACATAGGCAATTAACTTAGGACAAAGTTTTTTTTGCAGGTGGTTGCTCTCCATGTTAACTTAGAGAGTTTACAATGGCATCAATCGAAAGTTTTTTTTTCTCATTCATTTAGACACGAATTAGGTAATTTTCAGTTCTATTTCACATTATTTTAGCAAAGAGTTGACAATAAATCCATTTAGCAAAATCATGTTAAGCCGTATTACTAAGACAAAAAGCAGATTCAAATGTAATTCAAGTCGAAATCAATCAAACGGTTTATGCCAACTGTCATTAATTTTTTTGTAATACGTTTTTCTCTAAGGAAAGAATATAATAAAAATCGTTAATGCACTTTAGGGATTTAAAGGGTATGGAAGGTAAGTAAACTATTCGCAGACTGATTGCTGACTTTTCCTTATAGGCGATCGATTTTGGGTGTAAATTCAACCCGAAATCGATCACCTATAAGGAAAAAAGTCTTTAAACATATCTGCAATCAGCCTGTGAATAGTTTACTTACCTTCCATATTAAATAACAGGCTCATAATGGAGGAATTCATTTAACATATTTAAAGGGTACTTTAAATCCCTATTTTCTGGGAAAAAAGTGTTAAAATTTACTTTAAATCCCTAGGGATAAAAGCTAAATTTAGATATTTATTTTCAAAAATTTTATTAGTCAAATATGCCAAACCCGAAAGGCATGTAACTATAAGTTAGGTAAATCGACAAATAAACCAGAAACTTAAACATGCTAGTATTTCCTAAAGTGCATAAAATAGTATATACACCTCAGGACTAAAGTGTTTTAAAATACCTCGACAAATTATAGCCCTCCCGTTTGTCGGGCCATAAACTTTTTGTCTCGGGATTTAAAATACCACTTTATTCCCTAGGTGTATAATGTACTATTACAGCAAAAATAATTACCTACCGTAGTGTGCCAGATTTGTTTTCTGTGCCGTTTAAGGGGCGTTCCATTCAGTCTGTAACGGCGATGCAACAGTCTTTCAATTTGAAACTAATAAAATTATGAGAAATATAACTGAAAATGATTTAATTTGCATATCATTAGACTAGAAAAAAATTTTTCCGGTGGGGTCTTTATAAACCCTTTAACATGGGGAGCAATAATCTTTAAAAAGAAACTCCCCTTTTATTGTCTATGCGCGGTTTTGAAATATTCACCCGGTATGTAATACCCGGGTCCAGGACCGTTTGGCTATAATTATGCAATTCTTATAGATAATCGAAAGATTCTGGAAGATATTCGAGAGAACTTGGTGCACCGTTCACCCATAGTTGGTAAGTTTATTTTACAGTTTAACTAAGGCTTTATCTGAGTAAATTTTACCAAATTGAAATGTGCATGTAGATAATATTCTTATTAGTCATTACTGTTACTTCACACACTTATGAACCTATTATCAAAATGTGTATGCTGCCTTTTAACAAGAAACAGTAAATAAGGATAGAGCAATTCATAGTGCATTTGACTTAATCACCCTGTGTTGTTAAATGTGATAATGTAGCAGAAAACGAAATATCGTAAAAGAGAAAGCAATTTGTTTAATAAGCCATATTAATTTAACTTTTACTTAATTGATATAGTTTAGGGGCCGGAAATCTTCTGTTGTAGAAGCGCGAAGTATTTTACGTGGAGATTAGTCCGGGTCGCACTTGGGTCACATGTCGTTACAGTATACCTACAATATTTTTATGCAAATATATTATTTAAAATAATAAAAATAAAACTCGTATATTTTTATGTTTTGTATTATATTCTTTTTTTATAAATTTACGATATATTTTATTGTTACTAAAATTGAGATTTTTTGCGGTTGCTTTCGAGGGGTTGTTCACGAGCAAAGTTCTTGTCCTTCATGTAGGAAATTTCGGGAAAATTCTGGGGAAATATTAGAAAATTTTGTTGAAATAGGAGGAAATTTCAAAGGAATCAGGAAATTCTAGGGAAATTTTGAGGAAGTAAGAGGAAATTTAGAGAAAATTCTGAAAAACAATATGGAGACTTTAAGGAACAAATTTGGGAATTCTTTGGCAATGATTGAAATGTTGGGGGAATTAAGGGAAATGGTGGCATTTTTTAGGTAATGAAGGAAATCTTTGTCCCCTAAAATAAATCGTGACCAACCCCTCGGTTGCAATTTTTTGCAAGTTTTTGTTTATAATAGCTTAACAATACATTAATAAAAATTACGTTGCGGCGAGAATGTTGCAGGCCGCATCAAGACGCCTTGCGGACCGCATCAGGTTGCCGACCGCTGTTCTTAACTGTGTCCGGGTAAACTACTAGGCCCACCCCTGTTACTTTAGCATAATTGACGATATGAGTTAAATTAGGAAATATGAAGCATTTTTTCGCACGATTGCGATGTGGTATCAGAAAACCAATTGCTCATTGGGTTATGAAGGTATTCAATAAAATAACTTTCTTCTAACAAAACACCCTGTATATTTTTACATATTTTCAAATAAAATGAAATTATGAATAAAACATTTAAATGGAATCTAGGAACTGCAATCGATTAAGGGTTTAAATGTTATTCCAAAGATTCATGAGACGCGGTAGGCTGATAATTTAAATTAAAGAAAAATGTAAGCGAAATAAAGAATACAGAAATAAGAAGTTTGCTGGAAAGTTTAAAATTTTTAACATAAACTAACTAAGTACTTCGGTTTTAATAATAAAGAAATAAAAGTTTTAAAAAGTTACACTATACAAAAAAAATCAAATTTTTCCGTTTTATTATTACTAGCTTGTAAAGACAATGAATTTCAAACAACCATTAGTAACGATTGATAATAAATGTTAAAGATTTTAAACTTTCCAGAATATTTCTTTATTCTTTATTTCACATATGTTTTATTCAGTTTCATTGTCTTCCAAAGTGTGTTAACAATTGACATACACAGGGGGTTCCATATTTCTCTCTCTCAAATGACTACGCCACTGATTTTTACTTACAAGTATTTCCATAATAATGTTTTTTGTAGCTTTCGACTTTTGAAGGGAAACTGCAATTTTAGTTTTTCCTACTTATGCACTATACTGTAGGTAGACTATCCCAAGCAAAAAATACCATGATTCAATTTGTCTCCAAAATACACATTTTTTCCCATTTAACTTGCGTGGTTTAACTTGGGTCCCAATGTTGTGCACAATAAATGTACCAGAATATACAGGGTAAGTTTTTTTCCTATGTTTATAATGGTAATCGTGTAAACCGTAAGATACAAAGTCTCTTAAATGGGCAGAGTTATGAAGATTTAATTCTGATTAATTTTCCCTTTTAGCGTTTCTTGTAGCTCTAGAATGGCGAAGTTATGGTAAAAAAAAAACGAAAAATGTCATTTTCGAAAATGTGCTGAAAGGGAAAATTAATATCATAAAATTCTGAATACCTTTGCCCAAGTTGTCACAGAATCAAAACCAATATCTCCCTATAAATATATTGAAAATTGAATATATTTTTTGTTAGGTAATGTACGAGATATGTTTCGAACATCAACATGTTCATTATCAAGTACGGAAAATTAATCAATTAATTGATTAATTAATCATTTAAATAATTAATCAATTAATTAATCAATCCGTCAATGGGGAAAATTTAAAATTATTACAATACATATCAATTAACGAATTAGTTGAAATTACACATTTCGTTAATTGACCTGTATTGTAATAATTTTAAATTTTCCCCATTGACGGATTGACATTTGTTAACTTAATTTTCCGTACTTGATAATGAACATGTTGATATGTTTGAAACATATGTCTTACATTATTTTCAATAAATTTCGATACATTTATGGGGAGATATTGGTTTTGATTCTGTGACAACTTCGTCTTGGACCCCATTTAGAGAGAGATGGACCGACACAACGTTTTAACTTTGCCCGTTTAAGCGACTTTGTATTTCTTATGGTTTAGGAGATCCCAAAGTAAACATTGGAAAAACTCATCCTGTCTGGCAAGGTTAGAAAATGTGTGGATAAGGTCTTATGTAGGATTCAAATTTTAATACATGTTACATGTAGGTTGTTGTTGCAGCATTATATTCCGACAAACAACAAGGAGATGAAGTTTCTGTTGCCAACATGATACAACATGATAATTCATTTAAACGTCGTTTAATGCTTACTGCTGCAGACAAAACAAATTTGGTGAAAACCTGCAGGAACAAGGACAATAACTTTACAGAAACCGCTCTCCTTAATAAGGCTACACAAGAAGGTGTATCTAGTTCCCTGCCATCTTCTTTAACAAAACACAGTAGTAACTGTTCCTCTGAAATTGGTTTGGTAACTGATGCTTTCACTACATCGCCACCTGACAGTCTAACTACATTAATTCCCCTCGATCCGACTAGTCCCTCCACTTATGATGCAGAAAATGGATCCGTGGAAATAATTTCCAGAACCCGAGTAAACATTTCCCCTGATATTATTCGTTTTACCGAAGAAAATAGACAGTATGATATTAATACTAATTTTTCTACTGCATCTATGGACCGTTTGCTTTGTCACAACGAACCATTAGTTATTGAGGGCAAAGTAGTAGATTACTCTAATGATTATTTTGAAATGAATGACGTGGACTTGCAAGACGGTGTCATTGCGAATGTATCACATCCCGTACAAAACACCTGGAATCTTCCTAGTGATTTGGAAGACGCAACTTTTATTAATGGAGAAACGAATGTCATGGACTTGCAAGACACTGTCATTGCGAATGTATCGCATCCCGTACAAAACACCTGCGATGTTTTTATGGATTTGGAAGACGCAACTTTTATTAATAGAGAAACAAATGTCATGGACTTGCAAGACACTGTCATTGCGAATGTATCACATCCCGTACAAAACACCTGCGATGTTTTTATTGATTTGGAAGACGCAACTTTTATTAATAGAGAAACAAATGTCATGGACTTGCAAGACACTGTCATTGCGAATGTATCACATCCCGTACAAAACACCTGCGATGTTTTTAGTGATTTGGAAGACACAACTTTTATTAGTGGAGAAACATCAGAAGGCACAGCTTTAAAAATTATGTCCAGAACTTCAATACAGACTACCCCCGTCATCAATACGCTTTTTACTGCAGAAGTAGATGGGCAATGTGATACTAACGATGTTCATTCCTCTCCTTTATCAACTGATGCTTCAGTTGCACATGTCATCGATGATTTACATAATTCTAGTTCTGCATGTCCTGTCGCTACAGTTTCTATACGGAGTAAAAGAAATTTGGTCCAGATGGAAAATCCTGAAGTACAGTGCAATAAAAAAAGAAAACCTACTCCTCTCACTTATGATAGAAATGTGGTAATCACACCATCTCATACTTCAAACGCTCAAGTACTTGATAACATACCTGCCACTGCTTTATCTGAAAACAAGAAAACTAACCCGAGGAAATACTTCTGCGTATATTGCAATAAGTTATATGCAAAGTTTCCTCAACATCTGCAAACGTCACATAGAGATGAACCTGCTGTGAAGATGTATATGTTTTTACCATCGAGTAAGTTTATCAAATCATTTTTATTTTAAGATTTTTGACTTTTTACATTAATGTATGGATAATCCGAAGAGAAAGTTGGCGGAACTCGTTCAGATGACTCATGTTACCGGATTATAGAATTCATAATAAATGATATCTTTAAGTTCCGTTTGTAGATATACTTAACCATATACAGGGTGGGTCATTAGTGTGTGGGTGGAAGGTTCTGGGTTTAGTAACGCACATATTAAAAATTCATTATCAGGACATGTTGGAAGGATTCGTTAAGGCTACAACCTAAAGATATTTTTAACGAAATTGCAATTGTCATGCAAGGTGATTTATAACGAAGTTGGGTTTTTTAAATAGAATCCCCTGTCTATTATCGCATATTTCAATCCTTTGTTCAATTTTAGTGTGACTTTGTATCACATGCTATCTAAAATGAGTCGTTTCGTTGCAATTCGTAATTTTTTTAAAAGAGTTGCCCAGTAAAAATTAAATATCGCAGTTGTAATAAAACTTAAAAGGCTGAGATTCTTCAGTGTTACTAATCATGAAATGTACTAATATACGCCGAACAGTTAGTTACTTTTAAAAAAATCACTCGATCAATATTAAAAATTTTTATCGAGGACAACTTGATTTTTAGTGCACTTTTAACATTTAAAAAAAAAGTGCACTATTGTCCTCACAAAGTCTGTCCGTCCGTCAAGGTTTTCTCAGCGTGTAGTGGACCAAATTGGTCAATTCCTTTTGCATTTCATGGGGAATTTCAAACCCTCCATGCAAACAAGCCTCTTTTTTCCAAATTTTTCTCAAAAAACTAAAAAAAAGTTAAAGCGCACTCCCTAGCACACTCCGTGGGCTTTACAGAAATTTTTTTAATATACCAAGTTTTTTTATTCTATCAAATGTAGGATTTGATTACCTTTCTAATGATATAAGCATGTCGGTACCTTTAACTTTTTTTGTTATTCAACAATTTTTGATAGTTCAGTGTTGATTTTCAAAGCCTCTCGGTGAATTAGTAGGCTATTAAAAACTATAAACGCCTCCTTTAGGATTATCCATACATTACTGTATTAACCTTACTTGAATCACGATAAGCATGCTGGTAGTTCTGTGCATTCTTAAGCGAAAGCGAAAGTCCATTGCCCAGCGTGCCTTTGAAAGTATGGAATATTGTGCATATATATTTCTTCATAAATATCAGTTTTATCGAAAAATTGTTCAAATAAAAGTTATTTGGTATTTAATTTGTCATAATATATTAATTTTTAATTTTTTTAAAGTAAGCGCAACAGAAAAAAAATTTTATGACCAGATATATTTTTCGATTAAATTTGTCGAGTGTTTTATTCTTTTTTCAAAAATTTAAAATATTAATCTGCTTGCACCGGTAAAATGTTGAGAAAACTGCGAAAAACCGGTGTGTAGGTGTATTTTAACAATGCTCATTAATCTAGTCACTCATCTATTTTTAACAAATTTCAAACTCTGCCTGCGTCCTTCATTCTCCATAACCCAATACATTGAAAATTTCAGTATGTTGCCTTTTGGTTAAAAATGAGTTGTTTCTGTTCACTTTAAAAGCATATTTCACTCTCAAAAATGGATGCTTAACCCATGGCGTAAATATAGAGGGTGTGTGCATATCGTAACTTCGCGCAGCTCGTGTGACGTCATCTTCGAGTCTCGCGTCATCTTCGAGTCTCGAAGATAGCGCTTCGGTGTAACAAATTTACAATTGAGCGTTATTTAACAAATTCCTAAAAACTTGTTCTCACAATGCCTTATTGTGCAGTAGGAGGATGTTATAATAGTAATAGAAATACCACAGGAGTTAGCTTTTTTCACTTTCTCACTTATTAATCCCCCTCTGATATATTAATGAATATAGCGTAGTATGGAATTCAAATTTATCATTCTACATGGAGACTTCTTCGATAAAAACCCATTGGTTGTGACGAGAATTTTAAGTTCGTTGAAAGTGGAATTTTAAAATTTTCCGGAAGAACTTTTGCGATACCTTGTTAGAACACGCACCTATATCAGAACTAACAATTTACACTTCGTTTTCAGGGCGTAAACAGAGCAGATACATCGAAAATTGTAAAGAAAATGAGGAAAATTATTAGTACCTAGTTACACGGTACATTATGAAGTATGAATTAATTTATAATTAGTCTACTAGCTACGTCGCTGTTATTGTGTAGTATTTGTTTTGCGTTTTAAGCCTAACCCAAGTACGTGTTTGTGTACACAATTGAACAACACTTTAGTTATACGGATGAGTTTTACTTTTTCGATAGCGTAAGCCGTAAAGCATTCTATTCTATTCATGAGGGGAGCCCATCAAGGCAGCACTTAGGCACATCAAAGGCCCATTGTGCTTACCCCCTTTCTTCGCAACTAGGTTCAGAGCCCGTTAGGACCCTGTTTAGCTTGAGTTGCTGAGTTGGGATATTAAACAGGTCGCCCCCTTACTGTGCTGCAAATTGCTCTGTAAGAAAGTTACCTCGTCCATCACTGATGTACTAAGTTCCTCCCTTCCCTAGAGATGCCGACGGTTCCGACCCCTTATCGGAGCCGAGAGCCGCCACACGAGCCAAAAGCTCGTCGACATCTTGTATAACCTCTGAGGGCACCACGGCCCCTTCGAGGTCTACATCGAGGGATTGAGCTCCCTCCGTCGCAACGGAACTGGGTCCCGCCACCTCGGTGGAGCCCTGTCCCTTTCCTGGCGCAGCCGGAGCCCCCGCTTTTGTCACAAACGTGACGTGCGAGACCCCCGCGTACGCCTGGAACTTCTGCCGCTGGAGGGCCTGATAGGATGCCTCGTCGACACCAAATGCGAGGAGTACCCTACCAGGCTCTTCCTTGCGGAAGTACGTCCTCCATAGGCTCGACCTGAAACCAGGATTTTGCCTTTGGAGGCGCTTCAAAATGATGGCCGTGTCATCCGGGAGCCCGTGCAACACAGCCATCACTTTGGTTACCCTAGGGACGTGCCTCTGCACCTTCTGAGAAGCACCATCCCAGGGCCTGATAAGAGGGACAGTCCTCTCCAACCAGTCCAAGGTCCACTGGTCTTCGCATTCGGCCACGATGGCACCCTGCGGATTCCAGCGGAACCCTGCCAGCCGAGGGAAGGGCCCCCCCTCCATCTCGTCGACGACTGCATTCAATGCAGCCATAATGCACTGCGACTGAGGCTCAGTGATGTCCACGTCCGGGTGCGACACCGGAACAATGGCTACCCTGAGCCCCGCTGCAGCAATTTGCCCATAGGTCCTTTGTGCACCCGCAGCTACAGGTGCACCGGAGCTCTTGGGCTTCTTCTCAGGCTGCCCTGAGCCAGACCCTGGAGCACTTCCCTCCGATCTGAGACGCTTGGTCCCTGTCGTCGGGTTGTCCCCCTGAGCCACCGGCCCAGCCTTAGCCTTTGGCGCAGGTCCTGCTTGGCCCGAGGTTTTACCCTCGATCCGGCGCTTCCTGGCCATCGCCTTCTGTGCACCAGGCCTGTTCTTCTTACGAACAGGAGCTGGCCCACTACCAGGTCCTTGAGCAAGGCCCTGCGTTGGAGCTGTCCCCTCGTTCGAGGAGCCTACTCCGTTACCAGGCCCCTTTTGAGGGCTCGGCTTGTTGGTCCCCTCTGACGAGGAGCCCTGACAGGATATGTTAAGATTTAAGTCCATACAATTCCCACGAGTAATGCGGAAAAGCGGTCTCACCTGGGCAGAGCCGCTTGCCCAGGGCTTGGCTACCAGCCCCCTCCCGATGGATGGGAGCCACCACTCGGAGGTCGCCCGGTATCCGAGGGGCACCGTTATCGACACTGCACCCCAGTGCAACGCAGTCCTTGGCACGGTTGCTAACACCTTGACTTGGGAGGTTGGTCCGCGGCGACGTCTTCGCCGCTACCAGTCTGGATTTTATCCCAGACGAGCCACTTATAATCGCCGCTACCCACACAAAATCACGAGTCACTTCACGATCATTCAGGTGTTTGAGTGGGCCTCCCCCTATCCGCCACCTGGGGACGCGCCCGATGGGTGCCTAACCACACGGGAGCCGTAAAGCATACGCCATTATCAAAGCCCTGATTTAAAAAAATACGAAGTAGGTAGCAAACTTTACGCCATGGTTCGGAGTCTCGAATCTCGAACGTGACGTCATGCGCGCCGGTTACGAGTTTAAGTCGCTCTATGTACACACCATCTATCTTAATTACGCCATGGCTTAACCAACGTAAACTAGTAAGTTTGTAATTCAGTTCTAAGTTCTAAGGCGCAATCAATTGTTTCAATTAGATGAGCATAAAACTGTTATGGGTGACCATAGTTTAATGAGCATTGTTGAACGTTGTTAAAGTACACCTACCTGCAGTTTTTTGCGGTTTTCTCAACATCTTTCTAATATCTCAAATTGGTACACCTTCTACAAAATTTTATTACATAAAGAAGAGCATAGTTAAAAAGACTAAACAACCTGTTGGAACATATTGCCGAAAATAAAAATCTTTAATGTACTGAATTTGTTGCTGCAAATTAGAGGCTCGCCCTGTATATACATTCTAACATGGGACAGATTTACCAAATTGAAAGTCACTCTTCGCTATTGAATTCTGAGAATTTGTAGCACCTTTGATGTACTAGTGATAATGACTACAACAATTTTCTCGTTTCAGAATCTCCTGAGAGAAGGAAAATCATAGAAACCATCAGAAGGCGTGGAGATTTTGTGCACAACACTTCTACTGATTTTAATTCGGGTCACCTATTTGTAGCAAGACGTTCACATTCACAGTCAGATTGTAATTCTAAAGATTATGTACCGTGTCCACATTGTGCTGCTTTTTTTAACAAGACAACTCTACGCCTGCATGCCAAACATTGTATTCCTGCAAAAGTTACAGGTCAGAGAAACATACTTTCTGCAAGTCGATCTCTACTGTGTAAGCTACATCCAAGGGCTAGTGAATTTTTGAAAACAAAGATATTTTCAATTTTTCGTGATGATGATTGCGTACAGTCTATTCGATACGATTTGTTGGCAGTATTATATGGAAATTATATGTGTAATAAGTATTCCTTGCAACATCATCACGACATGATCAGGAATAAATTGAGATCTATTGGGCGTCTATTAATCGTGGCAAAGTCTATGGACTCCACCATAAAGGATTTTGTGAACTTGTTAACGCCAGAAAAATTTGATGTCGCCATTGCTGCTATAAAACAAGTGGGAGGTCTAAATGCTACTAATACACATTACAAAGCTCCAACAACTGTTCTTACATTGTCCACTGTATGTAAGCAAGCATGTAACATTTGGAAAACCGAATGTATTAAGAACTCTGATCCTATTGCAAAACAGAAGGTGGAAGACTTTCTCGTTCTTTTCAATGTTTCATTTCCTGCGGAATTAGGTAGAACCGCCATCGAAAATCGTGTTGAGCAACAGCGTCATAAGGTGGTCGAGTTGCCTATGAAAGATGATGTAAAAAAGTTAGTTTCGTTTTTGAGACTTAAACGAAGAGAATGGTTTTCAAAAATTCGTCGAGGGAATGTGCAAGATTTCAGATATGCCTTACAACAACTTGCTTCTTATACTCTTGTTTCATTAATGGTTTTTAATCGCAGACGTCCAGGTGAATTGGAACGCATAACTCTTACAGATTTTGCCAACTTGAAGTCTGCACATACTATTTCCGCATTGGGTGGCCATTTTCAAGCAAATCCAGATGATGCGCGTTTAGCAAATCGTTATAAACGCTTTGAGATACGTGGCAAACTTAATCGAACTGTACCTGTTCTGGTAGACTTTGAAATCGAAGCATGCATTAATTTAATTATACAAAATCGGGAAAAACTTGGCATCTCTTCTGACAATCCCTATGTTTTTGCTTGCCCTTCAAATGATGGCCGACATAAATATTTACGTGCTTGTTACCTTTTGCGAACATATTCCAATACTTGTGGTGCTTCAAGATCTGACCTGTTACGTGCTACTTTTTTGAGAAAACAAATTGCAACTGAGTGTGCTTTGAATGATCTCGCTGATAATGTAATACATGATGTCGCTAATTTTATGGGTCATGCTGTGGACATCCACAACAATATTTATCGGAGGCCGGTAGAGAAACGGGATATCTTACAAATGTCCAAAATCTTAGAAATGATACAGGGTGATAATAACTATATACATGAAACAAGTGCGAGTAATAATGAACCCATAATGGAGAATTCAGAAAATGCCGCTTATGATAAAGAAGCGGGTTCAAGTTTGCAAAATAATGAAGTACAGCAAATGCGTATTTCTGGAACAGCTGATTGTTTGGAGAACACTAACTTCAATACGGAAACGACTACTTCGACAACACATGTAAGCAGTTCAGATTCTCCGCCCCACAATGACCACCCACCTCGTGATGATTCATCTTCTGATGATGATTGTATATCGACGACTAAAAAGAAAGGCAAACATATTAATGGTAAGTGTTTCGTTTATAATTTTGACTGCATTTACATATCCTTTCTTCTGATAGGATTAACACGTGTATGCGGCCCAAAACGGTCATGGACACCTGAAGAAATAAAAGCAGCATCTGAGCATTTTAAGAAGTACTTGTTATCAAATAAGCTTCCGTCGCTTTCAAAAATATGCCAAAAACTTCCCCTCATTACACAACTAAAGCTGCGTTCTCCGACTTCAGTTAAAACATGGCTTCACAATGAACTGGTACGTCAACGTGGAAAAAGACTTCAAGATATCAAAACTCCACACGATATCGAAACTCCGCACGTTAAAGGTAAACTTTTACCTTTCACTAATTTTTAAATTTCTAAAATATTATTTTCACAGTTAGGAGGACACGTTGGACCCCAAACATGATGTTCCAATTGAAGAAAGTATTTGCAGATAATTTCAAGTATAGAAAATTGCCTTCTAATAGTCAGTGCGCTGCTGCAAAGGATAACTTTCCTGATTTTCAACATTTAACTATCGCCGCCATAAAGACTGCAGTTGCCAATGAAATGGAACGTATGAAGAGAACGTAATTTTGTAATTGCTACAAGAATTTGAATTTTGAAAAATTTCAAGATTGTTTTTTTTTACATTTGTTTGTTGCGGTATACATAGTTCTAGTAACATGGTACTTGGAACACTGGTTTGCATTTTGTGTGTGTTGAAATGACGCCAAAATTCGGAAATATTAATTATAAGTCTTGATTGTATACCTTTTTTTGATTTTTCTCTGATATTTTATACTTGTATACAACCTTAATTAAATATGTTTTTGTAAATGTCATCACATTTAAGTTTGGTGTATTTTGAATGAAATTTCTAAATTAAATGATTATTAATTTCAGTGTTCCATTTTTGTTTAATCTCAAATATACAAGTTGATGAAAACCCCGAATTGGTTCTTAAACAATACGGGCGACTGTAGTAATGCACATGCAAAATTATAGTCCTTGCGGGCATGGTTCAAGCAGCCACCTATTTGTGAATTACATTTGCAAAGTTTAGAATGTCTCGATTCTGCATGTAAGGGAATCATCATTAATTTGAGTGTAATGGTCACTGCATTTCTCAAAAACATTTTGAAAAGTAGCGCTTGGAGTTTAAACTAGGCAGATTCATTAAATCCTTTACAATATAGATGAAAATTTCTAGTGATCCCAAATTTTTTGGTAGTAATGGATCATTGCATGATAAAGTATCTTCATCTGCTTTTCTGTTCTCTCGCTTCTTTTAAATGCAAAATGCTATTGATCTGAAATTTTGGCAAAAGGTTCCTTTAGTGGATCATTATAGGAGATGGGGATTTTCAACTATGATTTGCAGCTTTAATAGTTCTCATTAGCAGCTATATTTTGCACTAATCAAAAAACTAGGAATTTCATATGCACTTGATTATTTTCATTTTTCTACAAGTGAATGTATTATGGCACAAGGATGTAAAGTATTATGTACCGGTGATGAACATATCGCTTTCCGATAAAGGAACCTATTCTGTAACGATTATGTTGCAATGATGGTTTACCTGTACAACAGGGCTATTATAGACAGTTTCAGATATTCGCAATATGTTTTAAATAACTTCATGTCAAAAACTATTAGATTGCACCATTCCATTATCAATGGAACGTGTGGTTTAAAAATATTGAAATTAAGAAATTTCTCCCTTTACCACAATAAGTTTTAAAAAAGTTTACTGCAGATTTTGGCGCGTTTTTCGCATTTGTCCTTACCGGACACGGGAATTATCCTGACGAGCGTACTTTTCGCGATCAATCTCCAGTGAATTTTACCCTACTGATGATGACCACTTAGTGGTCGAAATACGTATTTAGGTATTTTTTTCAAACTTATTGTGGTAAAGGGAGAAATTTCTTAATTTCAATATGCACCCATTACTGCTGATTTGTTTTATGGTAAAACTTACCATGCGGAACTTTAGCAATGATACAAAAATAAAAGAAAAAATACATTTTTCACATGGTTAACGATTTTTTTATTTTATTTGGAAGATAGGTACACAACTTTTCAGTATACAGACTTAGCAACCAAAGGTTGTTACAATTTATTATTACCTCAACTTGCAGCTTAATCTAATTATTCCTATGCATCTTCTTTTATGTTTGTTTACTGATTCTGATTATGGGAGATTTTCCATTCCGAACTTAGTCTGTATGTTTTCCCACCCGTGAAATTTCGAAAACCTGCGCTACTGGCTTAAAACGTTTTACTCTAGTGATAACTTTGACGAATAGTTGTGCTCTCCAACGAACTAATATATAGCCTCCTGTATCAAATATGTACTACAAACTATTTTAAGATAAGTAAGTATAGGTAAGTACCTAGCTACTAACCTATATCCCTTTTTAAACGCATGGAGTACTAATATTACCCTAAGTTCGTTTCCTATCAACACATATAAGAAGAGGTAGGCGTAGGTACCTACTAACTTCAACTTAAATGATGTGGGCCTAATACTCGTAAATAATACATTTATACTGTGATAATACTAACATGCAATTGAAAGGATTTCAAATTTATGTTCCATACTTCAATATAGGCAACTTACGTAACACGTATATTATGGCCACAAAATAATACGCACCTAAATGACAAATCCGTAATTACGAAGCTATAACAGATATAAATGTTTATAAAAGCTTATATAGGATATTTTTAGTGTGATGCTGCGCGCTTATATGACAATGATACTCAGTAGCGGCTACGAGCTTACTATTTTTGCGCGCGAAACGTTTTACGATCTACTTTACCCACAATATTGCCTAAGCGCGTAGAATACTTTGGACAAATATATATATATATATATATATATATATATATATATATATATATTGCGTCCGCACGTATTTGTACTTTATTGCGTCTCCTAGAACGGATAGGAATTCTTAAACTATTGCCGCGAATGTTGGTTTGGAATCGTATGTCGTGGCTAGAATCCTAACCAGATTTCAAAAATTCCCAGTATTTCGATATACGAATTTTCAGTCATATTGAATCATTCGTGCGTCCTTTCATATGCGCCATTGTCACACCCGTATATGCATTTCGCCGTATATTATTGCGTCCTGCAATGTTGCCAATGTTAATGCTCAGTCATTCCTCGTCTAATCACATATTCAAGAGGACGTTGATCCGGCAGGAATTAATTTAATTATACGAGTCCAATTGCTTTTCCTTGTAAAGGTGTGGAACTTAGTATAAAATTTTGATTTTGGTTTTTGTCGACGTATGTCTCTATTGTAATTACTTGTACTGAATTTGTAAGGTAGAAGTAGATAATTATAAATAAATGAATGTTTTCTTATAAGTTATTGGTGATCGATTTCGCTTTTATTTAGCATATTCGGACCTTAGCGTCAATTAATAAAGGTCCGAAGATGCTAAATAAAAGCGAAATCGATCACGTATAAGAAAACATTCATTTATTACTATAATTACTTACTTTTACCTTATTTACAAATAAAACAATTTTATTGAATAAAATCTTTTGAATTTTTACATTTTCGCAGATCAGCTCGAGGTTACGGAATAATGCAAAAAAAAATAAAAGTGTACGCTTGTAGTAAAAATTTGTTTTTAAATGCTGGAAATAGTATAAGAGACGTCACGTATCAATTGAACCTCCCCAAGTTAATATTTACAGCCATTAAAGAGCTGTTAACCATCAACCAAAAATATTCAAGAGCGAAATTTAATTTGTTGATAACCAAATACAACCTTTTAGATTAAACCATTTTATTGAATAGAATTTTTTGAATTGTTACATTTTCGGAGATCAGCTCGGGGTTACGGAATAATGCACAAAAATTAAAGTGTACACTTGTAGTAAAAATTTGTTTTTAAATGGTGGGAATAGTATAAGAGACGTCACGTTTCAATTGAACCTCGCCAAGTTAATATTTACAGCCATTAAAGGGGGGTCAGCTGTTAACCATCAACCAAAAATATTCAAAAGTGAAATTTAATTTGTTGATAACCAAATACCACCTTTTAGGTTAAACCATTTTATTGAATAGAATTTTTTGAATTGTTACATTTTTGGACATCAGCTCTGGGTTACGGAATAATGCAAAAAAAAAATAAAAGTGTACGCTTGTAGTAAAAATTTGTTTTTAAATGGTGGGAATAGTATAAGAGACGTCACGTTTCAATTGAACCTCGCCAAGTTAATATTTACAGCCATTAAAGGGGGGTGAGCTGTTAACCATCAACCAAAAATATTCAAAAGCGAAATTTAATTTGTTGATAACCAAATACCACCTTTTAGGTTAAACCATTTTATTGAATAGAATTTTTTGAATTGTTACATTTTTGGACATCAGCTCTGGGTTACGGAATAATGCAAAAAAATTAAAGTGTACGCTTGTAGTAAAAATTTGTTTTTAAATGCTGGGAATAGTATAAGAGACGTCACGTTTCAATTGAACCTCGCCAAGTTAATATTTACAGCCATTAAAGGGGGGTCAGCTGTTAACCATCAACCAAAAATATTCAAAAGTGAAATTTAATTTGTTGATAACCAAATACCACCTTTTAGGTTAAACCATTTTATTGAATAGAATTTTTTGAATTGTTACATTTTTGGACATCAGCTCTGGGTTACGGAATAATGCAACAAAATTAAAGTGTACGCTTGTAGTAAAAATTTGTTTTTAAATGATGGGAATAGTATAAGAGACGTCACGTTTCAATTGAACCTCGCCAAGTTAATATTTACTGCCATTAAAGGGGGGTCAGCTGTTAACTATCGACCAAAAATATTCAAAAGCGAAATTTAATTTTTTGATAACCAAATACCACCTTTTATGTTAAACAATTTTATTGAATAGAATTTTTTGAATTGTTACATTTTTGGAGATCAGCTCCAATATAATTAAACGTATCTGGACGCAACAATGTACTTTCCGAATGGAGAGTATAATAATTATCCTCATTTAAGATATAAAAAGATGATTATCTTATCGAAATGATGTCTATAAATAGCTTACAGTGTTGCCACATGTTGGACGCAATAATATACCAACTTTGTAAAACGTATACTTGAAAGCGTATACTAATTTACCGCCCCTAGCTGCAAAGTGCTGAACTAAAAATATACAACTTCGTACGTATTGCAACTATTATTGCGTCCACTAAAAATTCGTTATCTTTTAATATCTCGAAAACGGCAAGAGATGTCTCAAAGCTGGTTTGTGCTATAGGAATCTGTTAAACCGGTCCATCCTTGGTTGATAGTAATAGTAATGATAAAATGGCGGGAACATGGAAATACAGGCGATGCCTTTATTGCGTCCGATATTCGGACGCAATAGTTCGAAGGACGCAATAATGTGCGTAATTGGTAAATGTATGGACGCAATAATGATAGAATGGTCGTAGCCACATTGTAAATTTCGCCGTTTTATAAAACGGCTAGCCACTTTATAAAACGCGGCCACATTGTAAAATAATCATCTAGTTTATTTTGTAATATGGCTACTACTTTTAACCATATTATAAATTGGCCAATCAAGTACCCGCCGTATTCTCAAATAGAAACTACTACCTGCTGTTTTGGATTCCGGCTAGTTTCACTGTTAGTCACAACTTAAAATAAAAGTGAGGTTGTGTTTTTGTCGCCGACAGAAATTTGTATACAATTGTTTTTAACGGTTTCTATTTTATGTAATTTCATTACATACTGTGCGTTTATGTGGGTATTATTTTGTTGCTGTTACTCGTAGAATGGATAATAGTCCAGGCGTCAGAGACCTAAAAAATGCATTTAGTGGAAATATTCTAAATGAGCTAATTTTTTTTTAAAGTGTTTGTTACAACCCCATTAAT